ATAAGTTGTGCTGTATTAAAATAAGCTATATATATATATATGCATGCATGCATGCGCAGAAGCACACATTTCTAAAAAGACGAGGATAACATTTTGCAGGATTATGCATCAAAGATGACAACTCCCATCCTTCATGTTGACGAGATTATGGAAAGAATACCTTAGATAAGGAAAAGATAAGATATAAGGAAAGAAAACAAGGCAGACCAGCCTTCACTTGCGCCTATTTGCATTTCCTCGAGAAAAATAAAACAAAAACACAATATAGGAGAATGGAGTGAAACGAAAATCCGAAGCAGTAGAAGATGAAGGGTGGATTAGAAAAGAGATTAGACAAAAAGCTGAGTGAAATAGTGAGAGAGCGGAAGAAAAGAAGGCTTTGCTGAGTGCAAAGATTACATTGAATATGCATAGTTTCAGGTTATGGCTCTTAGCGGATTCCCCTATATATATTTACTGTAGTCTCGAGAGGACAAAAATGAGAAGGAAGAACGTAGGATGGAAGAATAGTGAAAATATCATTAACATACCCATGTTTATAAGACACCGACCAGATGTTTACCTCGACTTCATACAACCACCTGTTCATATTTAAATGTACACATTAATAAAAGCTAAGATACATACACAGACAAAGTTTAACACGAATGCACATATAGGTCTGCAAAGTAGCCACACTAGTGTATCACAAAGAATGACTTAGAGATTATAATAGAATAGATGCGTCAAAGGAGAAGCGAAGTCAAGCGGCATCCGGATGATAATCTCAGGCTTCGTTACACCGTCACTGAGTGGACGAGAAAGCACAGGCAAATGTACATGTACAGTTCTTACTCATTCTCATTCATTCTTATACTTAGCATACTGGTTGAGGCATAGAAAAAATACAGGATTAAAGATAGATGAAGGTGATAACAAGGCCTAGAAAAAAGTGGAGTAAAGGAAAGATTGTGAAAGTGGTGAGTAGACAGCACCAAGGATGAGATAAATTTCTATATACTCGGTTGAATAAGTGAACATGTGCATAACCGGAAACAAATGAAGAGAGAAATATGGAGATAGTGAGTGATAGAATGAAGGGGGCTGTGCTTGGTTAGAAATAAGAGATGAGAGTGGGCTTAAGTTCACAGCTTGAGTTCATTGGCAATTTTGGAGGCGATATTCTTAAATCCGATTGAGGTACCAGAGATCCTTTTGAATCTCACCCCGTTCAGACTGAGCCGCGGTAATTTGCACACCTCCATTTCCCATTGGACACTGGAGTCCGCAGCAGCATCTCCGTAGCCACAGATGAGCAGAAAGCGCTCTCTTTGCTCATAGCGGCAGGCATTCTGTTGTAGCACAGTTTTGATCTCCTGCATCATGTCGTTGGGGTCCATATTACTGGTCGTCTTCATTGACCAAGTAAACCGAAGACTGCGTGGCTTTTGTGGCTCCTCAGGCGATCCACTACCGCTGCCTGGCGCGCCCATGCCCATGCTGCCACTCCCGCTAGCCCCAGACCCAATGCCCCTCAAATGGGCCGTCTGAGAAATGGGTGAGCCACCAGAACCATCACCGGGCGTGACGCGGCCAGCCTGACTCAAGTAACTCTGGTCGGCCGAGTCCAAAAGACCTATACAAGTTAAATATAGGTGCATAAACATAGGACGATCGTGAAGTACAATTAATTAATCTATAATCCAGGATAAAAATATAAAAAATCAAATCAAGCTACCCATTACTCACAAAGCATTGTGCAAATTAAAAAGTCTAACCAACCCCATAAGCTTTATGAGAATGGCCTAAAAGACCAAGCTGGAAGACAATAAATTCAAGTGTGAGAAGTGACGTAAAGTAAAACTAACGAAAGACGTCATAGCTTAATGGACTTTGTCAATGACTTAGTGAAGTAATAGCATTCAGGAAGCTCGAAACTCTACTTAAATACGAAAAATAAATAACGTAGTCAATTGTTGTAGCAAATATACGTTTGCTTCATCGACAATCCCACCAAAGAATATGATATAGCAAAAGACCTGGCCTTCCCTGAAATTCGCATCTGCCCTGTGACCCAAGGGCACTCGTGGCAATGTGGCCGAGTTGTTAACGTGTCAAGCTTACATTCTGCACTATCACGATTTGACTACCGCTGGGAGTGTTGATAAGACCGATGCGTGGTCGAAACTGCAGTCCACCCTGGATGAGAACAACTTTTGGGAAAACAAAGCTCTGTAAAATTCAGTGGAAACATCAGCTCTATCATATCATTGTGGGAAAATTCTACCAGTCCTTCATCACCTTAAACGAAATATGGTGAATAAATCTCATATTTATGAGAATGGTCTAAAAGACCGAGCTTGAAGACAAAAAATTCAAGTCTGAAGAGTGACGAAAAGCGTAACTAACGAAAGACATCATAGCCTAATGGACTTTGTCAGTGGCTTAGTGAACTAATAGCATTCTGGAAGCTCAATAATTAAAAAGCTGAGGCCTTAAGCAGGAAAATGCTCATTTGAAATTTTAAAACATGAATTAAATCAAAATTTAGATACGAAGAGTAATTGGGTTTCGATGAATCTCCTCAGGTAACACTATTGGAGAGACTTTCATTCCGTATGAAAGTGCACGAAGAAGAGATTCGAAGGTCAATCTCACCAGAATAGGACAGTCAAAGCCAAACGACTACAGTACAACAGAAATCAGCCGTCCTCTTCTGGCGCGATCGATCCGGAAATCTCTTCTCTATGCCCGTTCATACGAAATAAAATTCTCTAAATAAAAATGCTTCCGTTTTCGCTCACTCCCTTTTCTAGTTGTATGATAAAATGAGGTGTATCATCATATTTCGAGAGGGTAATGAGGGGGAAGACGAATTTTGCTACAATAATATGAGTAGACACTACGTTTCCAATACATTTCATATAGCCTTGCTTCCCAAAAAGTTATTTTCATCCGGACTGAACTGCAGGTTCGAACTAGATCTTATCAACACCCATAACGGGACTCGAACCATGAAGGTATCGCATATAATCTCGACACCTTAAATACTACGACACATTTCCACGAGTGTCATTGGGTGACAGGGCAGAGATGAATTGGAAGGATAGTCGATGAAGCAAAGTTGTACTTGATACAACAATCGAATACGCCATTGGTTTTCATTAATAAATAGTCTTTTGAGAACGCCAATAGATCATAAATATGAGATACTTGCACTACGTCGACCAATTATATCCTCGCCAGTCAGACCAGATCCTTCTAGTGGGACCATCAGACCTTAGCTTGTTATACAAAGCCGAGTCAACCATCCAGTATCAATGAAAACCGACATTCACATCTTGTAAAGAATTTATTAGGAAGCATTTCTAGCTTAATTAATTGCCCATAGCACCATCCGCCTTAAATCCAAGATCTTTGCTGGTGTGTCGCCTCACTGATGTCTCCTCACGATTCTAAAACAGTTTATTTCTTCAATAAATCCCTAATAGAAAGGCCCAACTCGATTTTCTAAGTGCCAGGAGAATCCTCCAACTATAGGCCCATAACTTCGACCGAGTCAATTTGTCTGGTCAGTCTTTCTTCGAAATGAGGGATATTATGCACTGCCTTTAACGTGTGACATTTTTTCGCAGGCCGCTTCTTCACTACCCGACTCTGCAGTTGTATCATGGCAAAGTCGGCTGGATCGCCATGCAAGGAGGACCGCGGAAACCCATATTCGAAACTAAAACAAAACCCTGAGATTGCCGTTAAGTCTACGTCTAGAAAACTTTATTTGCGCCGTAGCGGAAAAGGGATTTTTTCCGGAATCAAAGCTATGGTTCCGGGCTGCATCTCTAAGCAGTATAAGGCCATGATGTCGCGCATATACTCAACGCAATACAATGTCTAGGTTTTTGCTACTACAAGGTATGGGAAACCATTCCAAATATATGGTCGCGTACCATCTTTCCATCCTCTAATAAACCGATCAATCTCGAGTCAGATTCATTGTACATCTTCTCCAGATGTCTGGATCAGATAAAATGATGTATAACCTAGCTGTAAAGGCATCAAGAAGACGTATCTTAATCCACATTCGGTCTATGATAGTATTTTCTATCAATAAAATAAGGTAAGTGCAGAATAACTAAAAGATAAGCTACTTAAAGCAGCAAAGTACATCAAAATCGCATCTAAAACTTGTTTGACCTCAATCTAGAAAACGTTATAATAAGATAACATAAAGACTGTCGTTTTTATCAAATAAAATCATTTTTTTTAATCAAATGAAATGACTTTGATAATATTTCTCAGCCTCGTTAGAAGTGAAAGTGTCTATGATATTGTGATGCATGGTGGTGCAAAATTATAAAACATTTTGAGCCTCTATTAAATTAATTGTGACAAACGCAGTTATTAACTTTTCAATCCATAAAGTGATCTAGTGATCCTAGGATTCTAAAACTATTTAATCTAGAAAGAATAATATCGTAGATAAAAAGAGCATATACAAGCTTGTCCTATGGACACTAAGCTAGTAATATCTAAAATAGAGGTTAACTTAGGGCGAGAAAGTTACCGTAAATAGTGTACTAGAAGATATTATCTCAGAAAATGTATTATGAAAATTTTTTATATATTTAGTTTAGCTAAATCATTTTAGCTTAGAAGTGAAAATTGCCTCTTAGGATGATAATTTTTAGATTTATATGATGAAGAAACTATGAATTTAAGAGTTAAATACAATAATTCAATCAATATAAAGTTAACATATAATCAGTATATAAGTAAAAGTTGGTTTTAAGTAACAATACCATGCATTTTCGGGAACTTGTTACTTTATTATAAAATCTAGACGATTATCATTAAGATTAAATGAATTATCTTAAAAAAATCAAAAACGAATGGAACAAACAAATGCGGTAAAATGAAGACATGCATTCTTGTATACATTTCCATGCTAGAAGAGACTATGCGAAGCACAGAATAAAATACTGAATGCTAAGGACGAGATAATAAATAAAATGTACGAAATAATAACGTGAGATGACTGGTTATGGAGGATAAAGGAAAGGAAAGGGGTCACTAATTCGGACAGGATTTTCAGAGTAAATAGATCGAAAAATTTTCTGATCCTATCTAAGTCTACATGGGTTTAGAGTAAACAAGCGAAGGAAGGAGATAAAACTAAATTAAAGAAAACGAAGAGCAAAAGAACCATCGAGGATCAATATGAAGATAGAGAGAAATGTTTAAGGAATTGTAGGAGAGATAAAATAAGAAGCGTAAACCATAATTGAAATAGGTATAAAGGCCTTATTTCTTAAAAAACACATTTGGGTCCTGAGTAAGTAAATAATATAACTTAATAAACTCCATATTCGACCTACCACCATCAAGTCCAAAATTTGATTCCAGAATATTATTAGAAGTCGGCGAGCCCATGTGTAATGGTGGTGTGTTTCGGCCAGCAGCAAGACCACCAGAAGGACCTGAAAGAGATACAGTAGGATCCAGAGGTCCAGTTTGATTAAGAGGGCCACCAGAACACACGGCGCTATTGCCAAGACAGGGTGTAATGTTGCAGGTACCAATAGTAGCGTTTGTAGTGGTAGTGGTAACCATGACAGTACTGACTACGGTAGAGGCCACAGACGCAGTGCTGCAAATGGAGCTGGATGGCTGGATGGACGAAGTAAGCATAAACGAGGTGGCTGTAGAAGTGTTCGTGGGACCGACGGGATATCGTTCTGGTACATTAATTGGTCCCCTGATTAAATAAAATGAAGCAAATTCTGTTTTAGGTTCACTTCAAATGAAAGTTTCAACTGTAAAGATAAGTTTAAAACATATGGATGCGTAGGGTTGGCGTTAGGCGAACATTTTAAAGGCAGAATAAGATTTGTGAAAGACAAATAAAGTAGGATTTCTTACACTTAATGTCCGTTTTTAAGATGGTCTTCCTAAAATAAAGCAAACAAAAGCAGCCATCCAAAATTTCATTGTTCAAAAAATGCAGGCGATGATTTCTTACAGGATGATCTTTGTTCTTAATTATGTAGTAAAAGAGCGACATGCCTAAGTGAATAGTGACGTAGTTACAAAAATAATAAAGCGTTTACTAGCAAAATTAGGTATCGCATTCCTCTAAGAAGAATGCGGTTGGCCAGTCCTATAGAAAAAATGCATAATTGGAATAGAGTAGACTCTTTATCCTTTTTTTGATTGAAGATTTATCATGGATCCTATCCATATGAATATAAACAGAAAAATCTTTAAAAAAAAGGAGTAATCTACAAAGAGTTTTCAAAGATGTCTGGAAAGCTCTTGGAGTAACAAGTCTATGTTGTGAAAAAGTATATCTGTCAGATCACGTCTGTAGACTGATATAGCATAAAAACATGGTGCATAGGCTAGGATAAAATAACCTGATATCAATTCTACCCTTTGATTTATGACCGAGAGGAAACGTGTTGTCGAGGCTTCGAGTCCCGATATAGTTGACGCTGAGGCCCGAGTAGATTCATGCTGAGCTTTTGTTCCTCATATGACGAAAAATGCAGAGCCGGATCGTATGCTTAAAAGAACTGCATGCAGGAAAGCCAGCCAACTTGTCTCTATATATCCGGAACCGAAAAAGATATAAACGAAGACAGTGCTAACCAGAACGTACCAGATAGCTATGAATAGCACGCCGTCATCTTCTAATAGAACCAATCTACAAATCTCTTCGTCGCATACTTTCACTAATGGACAA